GGCGAACGGTCGGATTTTTCACGCTCCCGAATTTCTGTGAGTCCTCGCCTACCAAGGCTGTTCTGTCCTACAATTTATGTTAATTTTGATCCATTTCTGTTCTATCTGTAACCGTACGAAATTTTGTTCCCATATCTTGTGCCTGGTAGGAGTTATTACCACTTTTGTGATTGCTAGATTTTTGTAACTTTCACTGTGGAATTTTGATTTTCCCTAATTCTCTTCATAGTTGTGCATGTCATCCGGATAATTTCTGTGGTCCTAGATTTTACAGAATTTTCTCTATAGATTGGTATATAGCTTGTTGCTATTGGCCGCCTGATAGCGCAGATAAGAATTTTTTTCGAATATTAAACACTATACTTTTTCACAATTTTGGGGTAGATTTTTAGTAATTTCCCCTTTCCCAAGGCGTATCTGTCCTACGCTTTATGTCAATCTTGTCCGTTTCTATTTTCTCTGTGGCCGTACAGAGCTTTGTCCCTATATCTAGTCCCCCTTTATTAGTTATCTTCACTTTTGTGACTGCTAGACCTTTGTAATTTTTACTATGGAATTTTGATTTTCCTCAATTTTCTCCATACCCGTGCACTCTATCTGAATAATTTTTGTGTGCCTAGATTCTACAGAATTTTCTCTATCGATTGGTATATAGCTTGTTACTATTGGCCATCCCATAGCGAGGATATTAATTTTTAAATATTGGATACTGTATTTTTAGCAATTTTCTCATAATTTTGGGTAAAACTTTAGTAACTCTTCACTTTCCAATGTCGTGTGTAGACTTTTCGGAATCCTCATTTTATGAGCTTTCGAATGAGCTATAGCACGTTTCTCTGTGACCTACCGTTCCGTTTCTATCAGCATTTTTCGGTTCCCTATATATCCCATTTTACGCACTTGCGCGCACTTGCGCACGCACGGACGCACGAGTGCGCACCTTCTAGAACATTCTAGCACTTTCCAGAGCCTTCGCGAAGCGTCTAGACCATTCTGGTTGCCAATAGATTTTGATACACTAAAACAACGGTCACCCCTGACTGAAATTTCCGACCCATTCACATTAAAACCTGTACTATCCTTGAGGTATCCCTATCTGTTGTGCTATACCCTCCCATATCCATCCCTGACTGTACCCTCCTATGGGCCGTTTTGTTTTAATGAACTGCCGTTTTGTAGTTTTTTGGCCATATCTCCGCCATTTCCCAAGCGATTGCCACCAGTGACCTATCGTTCGAATCCCCCCGCTGTGCTACACCTCCCCAAGTTATCTGTTTCAACCTTTTTGCCACACCCCGTACAATATCCCTAATTTTCCATTTTCTCGCTTCCCGTGTTACTGATATGCCCCATTGTGCTCGCGCTTTTCCCAATTCATCCTCCCCCACACCTTTTGCGCCCATCCCTCTATGCCTCCTCCCTCCCCTCCCTCCTACCCACCTTTAATATTGGCCCCACACGTTGCACGACCGCCGTACCACCGCGTACCTGAGAGTTTGCTCTGGGAGGAATCCGTGAAGGATCCAGAGCACAGGCTTACGCCTGCAGCCCTCTGATGCCGTAAGGCTCTCGCCCACTGTGCCTACGCCATCCCTCTGGTCAATGTCAAGCCCACCCAACGATCGGACAGCCTCTGCTGCCCAATTGACCAGCCTTATGCCGGAATCAGTACTACAATGCCCAATTTGTGCCAAACCCTGCAAATCTAAAGCTGGACTGACACTACATAAGCGTGTGCACCCTCCGGAAACCGTTACCGCCTTGGCTACTCGTTCCGTCCCAGACAATCCTCCGCCCGAGTCGTCCCAACCACAACCCCAATTAGTTGGTCCACATTCATGTTCTCTTTGCCCGCTCTCCTTCACTACCGCTACTGGTCTGTCCCAACACCACCGGCATCGACACCCTACTGAATACAACGCTAGCAAATTATCCAGAATCCGGCCTTCAACCCGTAACTGGACTCCATCCGAGGACTCAGAACTGATCACACAAGCCAATCTACTGTTCCGCCCTGGATCCCGGAAGATTGACCTGTACACCCGCCTGCACGAAATTCTGCCTCTACGGACAATCGAAAGCATCAAAAAACGTTTAGCCCATCTGAACTGGACCCCTGCCTCGCCGAGCCCCCATGCATCTGTACCTCCCCTTCCATGCACCCCTACCCCATCTGTCCCCTCACTATCGCCTATCTCTAACCAAGTGACTCCCCCTAATGGACAGCCTCCGGATCCTCCTGCCCCGAACTCTCCCCTTGACCCCCCCTCCCACCCCCATACAATCTACCCCGAGTCACGTCCCCTTCTCGAACGTGCTATTGAATACCTGAGCGATTGCACTGACAATGCTTTTTCCCCTTCCACACTTCTTAACATTGCCCTATCCGCATTAGCCCCTGATCCCGACATCCCATCCCTCCATAGACTACTAGATGCACATGCTGTAGAGAATTTCCCCCACCTCTGGAAACCAAGCCGGCCGCGCTCCAATCGGATCTCCCGACCACCTGATATTGGCAGCCGTCGTCCTCGTCAGTCGGCAAAGCGGATCGAACGCCGCGCGCAGCACGCCCATATTCAAACATTGTTCTCCCACCGGCGGAAAGACGCCGCCGAAGAGGTTTTCTCTGGGAGATGGCGTACATCATACCGTGACGATGCCTTCTGGTCCGCGGACTACGCTACCTACTGGAGTGAAAAGCTGTCGGCCCCCCCCACCCCGATACCCGTCCTCATCGTGTCATCCCCTCCCTCCCCTCTCTTTCGCTGGACCCGATTTCATCCAATGAACTGCTCGCGGCCCTCCAAGATATGAAGGGCTCTGCACCCGGTATAGATCGCCTTGACCCCTCCACTATTTCCCAATCCCATATTCCCACCCTTACCGGATACCTTAATATTCTACTGGCATTAGGATATGTCCCCCCCCACCTCAACGTTGCTCGCATTACTTTTGTCCCTAAGTGTCCCTCTCCCCTCGGCCCAACTGACTTCCGACCCATTGCTGTATCCCCTATTATTCTACGTGCTTTGCATAAGATTATCCATAACCGTTGGTCCGCCCTCTTCTCCCCCTCCAGTCTTCAATTTGCCTTTCTTAAACGAGATGGCTGCTATGAAGCTACCTCCCTCCTTCACTGTATTTTACGACATGTGCATACCTCCAGTCGGAATCTTTCCTTTGCATCCCTCGATCTCTCAAAAGCTTTCGATTCTGTTTCCCAAGATACCATCCTCCGATCAGCCGCCGCTTTCGGAGCTCCTCCCCTCCTCCTGCAATATCTCCGCTCATCCTATACCACTGCCTCCAGTGTTCTCCCCGATGGTACATCTGTCTCCCCGAAACGCGGGGTCCGACAGGGTGACCCTCTGTCCCCCCTATTGTTTATTATGTGCATCGACGAAGTTCTCCAACTCTCGCTCCCATCAGTTGCTTTCTCTTCTCCTGTTGGCCCTGTTGATGCCATGGCCTATGCTGATGACCTCATTCTTTTTGCTGATTCATCCGCCGCGCTACAACGAAAATTAACCGCTTGTTTCGACGCTTGCTCCGCCGCCGGTTTTTCCCTCAACCCCGACAAATCTTTTTGTGCATCCCTCCTATCCTCCTCCAAACTGAAAATTACCGCCCTTGACACCACCCCCCTTTGTCTCCTTGATCGAACCCTACCATCCATTGGCCCTACCTCTACCTTCAAATACCTTGGTATTCCCTTCAACTTTAAAGGTAAAGCGGGCGTTAACTTTCTTCAGACTGTCTCCACCTTCCTGGACAACTTGGTCTCTGCCCCGCTTCGTCCATTCCAACGCCTCTTCTTGCTGCGTAATTATTTTTTCCCCAGACTTCAGCATTCCCTATGTTTAGGAACTGTCCACAGGAATACTCTTGTAAACATCGATCGTGCAGTTCGTCGATGTGTCCGTTCTTTTCTCCGCCTACCCAAAGATACCCCTACTTCTTATTTCCATGCCCGCACCTGTTTCGGGGGCCTTGGAATTCCCCACCTCGTTTCTCAAATTCCCCTTTTACGGCGTAAGAGACACGATAAGCTCCTATCCTCCCCAAACTTGTTGTTGCGTTGGTCCGTGTCCTCCCCCTCCGTTCTCCCGTCCCACAGGTTGTCCCTTCAACCCGTCTTGGTTAATGGATCCGAAGTTCTATCCACCGATGAAGCCGCCGAACGTATGGCTGATGCCCTCCATAACACTGTCGACGGCAAGGTTCTATCCTGTCACAAACACTCGGGACCGTCATCGCGTTGGCTTCAAATGCCCTCCAAGATGTTCCCTCGTGACTTCATCGGCAGCTGCAAACTTCGATGTAATCTATTACCTACGAAGACGCGTCGTCTCCGAGGCTCCCGTGCCTCCGACAATATCTACTGCCGAGGTGGCTGTAGGAAACCTGAATCCCTTGCTCACATCCTCNTCCCGTGCCTCCGACAATATCTACTGCCGAGGTGGCTGTAGGAAACCTGAATCCCTTGCTCACATCCTCCAAGAATGTCCGATCACCCATGACCACAGATGTCGCAGGCATAACAACGTAGCCTGCTACCTTGCGAAGCTTTTTCGTCGCAATGGGCAAACAACGTTCACGGAACCTAGACTACCAACTGGATCGACTTATTGTAAACCAGACCTTCTAGTCGTCCACGGCTCGACAGCTTTCGTGTGCGATGTTGCCATCTGTGCACCCCACCTCATCTCCCACACATTCCTTCATAAACAGAATAAATACTCCACACCTGAAATCACCACACAAATCAAGACCCTACTCAATTCCCAGAACTGTACTCCCAGCTCCATCCTGCATACCCCAATTATTATTACATACAATGGTTTCATACACCGCAAATCCCACTCTGCACTGAAAAAACTCAAATTCTCGGATATTGACATACAAGACATCCTCACCCTTGCCATGCGCGGTTCCCTTAAAGCATACTATGGTTACATGAGAGGTGCTTAATGTGACATTGTGCTACACATGGGCATTGTACATCTTTGATTCCGATGCTTAACATGCAATTATTTGCTTCTCGGTTCTGAGTACTATGTACACTTTACCGAAAATAAATGTTAATAGCCAAATGCCTCGTCATCTAATTAGTGACGCGCATGAATGGATTAACGAGATTCCTA